GCTAATGCCTATTGAGCCTTGCAAAATGGCAATGCGAGAATTGGCTAGTATTGTGAGCCTGGTGCTTTGACTGAGTGTATTTCCAGTAAATGCAACAATAAGTTGCTCTGTGCTGTCATCTTCTTACCTCTATTTTCACTGCCTCGACTTGAAGAAGAATATAGAATAGAGGAAGCGTTGGGCAGCCTTACTCTCTTTGAAAATAACATGTGAGAAACCTCTCTCTGAAAAGGCTCTTTAATGGTTAGTGTGTTACTTTAAAAAACAATATGGTATTCTTTGAACAATCTGAAAGTCTGGAAGTTGGTAGCGAATGTTGGAGTCTTATAACCTTTTAAAAGTTATTTTCAGGCAATGTGTGGGATGCCCTTTAAGATGTCTTCTATCTCTCTTTCTTTCTTTGTGAGGGTGATAGAGAGGCGGAGCTCGGCCTGCCCTTCTCTCCTCTGTGTGATCGAAAAAGCACCCTGGTAGCCGAGTCCCAGATTGGTACGTTACTCAAAACACTTTCCAAAACCTCTTCTTCTTTCAGTCAGTTCTCTTCTCACCGATATTCTGTAAAGGAGATTTAGTTCCCATCCACACTTCTGTCACTATACCACCATCTAAAAATCTTCACTCAGAACACTAAATTCTTCTCTCATCTTAAAAAATACAATCGATTGTAAAGCACTTTAAATTTCATTTGATTTGTTTGAAAGGTGCTGTATAGTTTGATAAGTTTGACTTATATTACTTCAATCACTGAATTACCTTTGAATTTCTTTACCTTTGTAAAAAAACAACCCCCAATTTTTCTTTCTCTGAAACAGTTTTCCCCATGCTAAAATGGGCAACATTTATTCATGCAGGTTTCATAGACTTCATTGTGTATCCAACATTCTCTCTGTTGACGGACATGGCTGAAAAGATTGTTATTCCTTTGGTGGAGGAGAACCCAGGTCCACCAGACCCCTGCAACAGACACAGGTAACAAACAGACAAGGCTTGTGCACTGAAAAGTACAGTGTACTACATTTTTGATTGGACATTTTTAGCAGAAAGAATAGAAACCATTTTGTCCCAGTGGTCACTCATTGTATTCAAACAAAAAACTCCCTGCGGCCCAAAAAGTATTATCTCAATAGACCACTGTTACAAAAAGAGACATCTGTAAAACTGTTGACACCTCAAACTTCAAACAAGGTTAATTAACCACTCAGAGCCATAGAACAGTCCTGCCTTCTCATTCAATGGCCTCAATTTCCATGTATTGATCTTTTCATCTAACTCTCAGCAAGAAAACAACTATGCATATTTCCCAAAACGGCAAACTATTCTTTTAAAAACATCTAGCTCTTTAACTGCAGAGAAACTCAAAATTATCTTGAAAGAAAGTAATGTGAATGAAGGTAAAATTGGGGGGAAAGTATTGCTATGACAGCACAGTTATTTCTCAATAGTAATCTCTGGAAGGAGAGCTCCAGAGGGCTGCAGTGGAGCCTCGCTCATATCACAGCTGAGCTGGTGAGCTTCCGCTCCACTTGGACACGACACACCGAAGACAACAAGCTAAAATGGAAGGAAAGTGGCTCCAATGGTATGTCGTCATTCATGTTATGAATGTAATGTATGCTCTGTGTAGAGTCACAAATAAGGTCAAATATAAACAAAATTCAAAATTCCTATCATAATTTAATTCAAGTACTTAATTTTGTATTGAAAGTTTCAGTTTAAACAGTTCACAGCAAGGCTTATCACATAACAATCTTGAGAAATGGTTCTACTTGTCAGAATTAAAATGATCACCTATGAAGAGTTTGACAGCCTCTGCTTACACAGAATAAAACATTTTTTCTAAATGTGTGATTTGGCATGGACAAAGCCACTTAATGCCATAAATGTGCCATAAATGTGCTCTGTCTCCCTGATTTGATTTGTTATCTACATTCTTTTTGCAGTGATCTCATAAGGAGATTCACAGATACAGATAGTGTTTCCCTTTCAGCTTAACAAAATTTTCCAATGCCTCTTCCAATCTTCTATATCCTCCAGGATTTTCAGACCCCAGTGAGACAAAAGAGCAGCGATCCAGACAAGAGGAGCTGTCAGAAAAATCCATGCAAGACCCAACTTCAGATTCAAAACCGTAGACAGGACTTCATTTATAATATGTGCTATAGAATATCTGCAAAGATTAACTGGGGTTTATGTTGAGTCTTTGTAACAAAACCACTGTGGCTTCTATTACCATGACTGAGGGATTCAGAGGAGGGAGGGGTGGTTCAAGGTTAACATCATCTTCCCAAGGTAAGATGCAGTGTATTCACAGATGTCCTCATGTCTTATTTTAAGTGTAGTATACTATGATAATTTAAATCCAAAGTATACATGCTGGACATGTTATACAGTATAGTGCATGTTATTAATTTAATTGGCCACCTAAGCACTTGTAAGAAATTTAACATTTTAAAAGTAGTTAACACACAACTCATTTAACCATGCAAATGTTGGAAATATATCAAAGTTTGTCATATGTGAAGTTTGGTATTGATTCATTATAAGGCTGGCCTTGTTATAGTGGGAAATTGTGCCTTGATGCTTTTAATTAAAACATTTAAAGAATTCAACTGCAATCACGGATCCCAATCTTTGATTGAATTGAAGCTGCATTCCTTGCATGATTTTACAGCACATTCAGTGGCTCACTCTGCAAACCAATAACTGTAAAATATAAAGTTTTCTGAGATTTCCCTCTTACATACTGGGTTTTTTTTTTTTTTATGTTTTCATGTGAAAGCAGATCCTGGTTTAGGCACTTTGGACATTCAAGATCTCTAAAAAAAATGGTTGAAAACAGACTTCATGCTGCCTCTGACTGTCAAACTTGCTTTTAACTTGACTGGATGCAAAATTCATAAACTGTGTGCAAAAGAAAAACATCCAATCACCAATTTAAACATTTTATTGTATCAAACAAATTTAGATTACAGAAGTAATCAATCAATTTAAATAATATTGGAACCAAACTCAGTACACTATTATCATTCAAAAACAGAACAAACATTACATTTTCCAATACACTGCAAAGGAAAAAACAAAAGCTTGCACAGGAATGTTTAACTGTTGTTCTTGTTCATTGTGGACATAGTGGTCATTTTTGACCACTATGAATTTTTGACGAATTGAAGTTGCATTCCTTGCATTTACAGCACATTCAGTGGCTCACTCTGCAAACCAATAACTGTAAAATATAAACCAATTATGTTTTGCACAAAGCCTAGTGCTCATATTTACTTAATGGGCCAGCTCAAGTGAATTCATCACTCTTTTCTATGTAATCCCTTTTTAAACCTTATGTTTGACTATAAGTTGTGATATTTGTAGCACATAATTGATTACCCCTGTTTGGATCTATTCTGATTTAGTTTACCATTCATATTAGAATACAGTATTATTATATTATTATACAGTATTATTGCTATTGAAAGGTGTGGTTTAATTGTAGCTATATTTGAAGCTGTCCTATCAGGCAATATGTATCCACCAAAAGCCAAAGTGTCCTGTCCTTTTAGAAGTCTACATCCTAAACATAATTGAGCAAGGAAACGTCAACCACAGGGCTAATGGTAGCAATAAAATATATAATTTTGATATAGTTTAGTTACTTTACTTTAAAAAAACTTATATTGAAATATATTGAAAATGTAACTGACCATTTAAAGGATATGTCCTTAATATGTCAGGTTCCAAATCCATCCAAAACCTTGAACCCATACTTCCCATAATGCAACTTAAAGGAATTTTTTTTACTTTAACATTTAAAGTAAAAAAATAATAAATAAAAGGTCAAGCTGTCTGGTGCCTGTTAAACCAGTGATTTCAGTTCTCTGCTCTCCCAGTTGGAGGGGCTGTAGAGCAAAGAGAGCGAATTGGCTCCAGGGTCGCCCAGAGGGTTCAGCTTCAAACCCAATTTCTTATTTTAACAATTGTCAAATAAGCAGTTTGACATTGCATCTTCATCTTCTTCATTTAGGACAACAGTAAGGACAGCTGAAGTTATTCTATATCCAAGTCAACTGGGTGGCTGTACAGTAATATATGGCACATAAATGACTGATGATGCAATTCTGTTACTTCTATGTTAAATGTGCATGATCTGAGCAGTGCACACACATTTGCAGCCCCAACACACACACACAGATAGAGAGAGAGAGAGAGAGAGAGAGAGAGAGAGAGAGAGACAGAGAGAATTGAAATACAAAACAGTAAAAAAAAAAACACCAATCTTGTCACTTAGAGTGAATTTTATTGAAAAAATTCACAAAGTTGCCTCATGGGCTTTACTTTACACATACAGATATTGTGTGTGAGGTATTGGCAGTATGATATGCTACATTTCTTAAGGTGTAGATTCATTCCTCAAGCCAGTTAAAACATTATGATCATTTCACCTTGATGGAGACAATCAATTTGGACTTTTGCTCTTAAGGGTCTTTAGAGCATTCACCTTAAGTGATGACTGTAACATGCTTTCACAGCAAAACTTTATAACAGAAGTGATCAATATCACTCAGGCTATCCTAAAAGCTAACTGGAAGTGTCTGTACAGATATCACATGTAGCTTAAATTGCTGCAGTATTACAAAATATATTTGTGAAAACCGGTCCTGTGCATGAAAAATGTATGTGTTTTTATGCTCCAGGCTCAGTACATTGAATTATTTATTGGCAGAGTGCTTATTTTTAGGATATAGTCAAAGCCAACCTTTACTGAACACAAAACTAATGGTGCAAGTTTAACTTGAAGTTTTCTGAGATTTCCCTCTTACATACCTGGGTTTTTTTTTTTTTTATGTTTTCATGGGAAAGCAGATCCTGGTTTAGGCGCTTTGGACATTCAAGATCTCAAAAAAAAATAGTTGAAAGCAGACATCATGCTGCCTCTGACTGTCAAACTTGCTTTTAACTTGACTGGATGCAAAATTCATAAACTCTGTGCAAAAGAAAAACATCCAATCACCAATTTAAACATTTTATTGTATCAAACAAATTTAGATTACAGAAGTAATCAATCAATTCAAGTAAAATTGGAAGCAAACTCAGTACACTATTACCATTCAAAAACAAAACAAACACTACATTTTCCATAAATACACTGCAGAGGAAAAAACAATAGCTTGCACAGGAATGTTTAACTGTTCTTCTTATTCATTGTGGACATAGTGGTCATTTTTGGCAGCTGGGAAATAAACTGCTCATACTGTGGCTGATTAATCTGCTAAAGTGACATCAATACTAGGGTGGCTTTAGTTTTCTGCTTCAGTTTGTTTGATTTCATTCAGGCATGTCAAGTATAATGTGAAGGCTATGGAAGGATTGTCACGTAATCTACATAATAATGCCACTTCAGTGATACAAATAACAGATGAAATAACAAACATTTTAGAGTGTGGTGATGACTTTATAATGTCCTTGTTTCATACAAAACTACAATTAAAAAGGAATGCCAGTAAGTACAATATCAGTCCAGTATTTAAAATGTTTGTTTGATTCAATTTGATTTAAATTTACTCCATTACAAAATGAAATACAGTAAAGATTCAGTGTCAAGCAGGAAGGTGTTTATGACCAGGATTTAGATTCCCTTCATTGTCGAACAGGAGAGTGTTCACTGGAGATGTTTTTTTCCTTGTTAATTCAAAATATGTAAATGCATCTGCAGAAACAACCCTCTGTTATTGTTGCATATTAACAAGGGATTTACAACCACTGCGTCTGGTCTGATTATTAGTAAATTATTGTAACTAGACACGATACCACTGTTGTTTATTGGGATATTACCAGTAATTACTTTCTCACTGTTACTTTGAAGTCCAACTAAAATCACATTTAGTTTTTAGCTTTTTTAATAATAACCTAGCAGCTAGGTGACTCGCAGCATCTAATAGACTGAACCAGAGACAAAGTAAACAAACTTACATTGTAGTCTACATGTCAAGTGCAGACAGTGTGTTGTTAGTGATAGTAGAGAGTAAAGACCACACCTACATCTAAGTGGGCCAAGTGGACATTTGCAAGTATGTTTAAATACTGTTTAATGTGCTGCAGATAATTATCTAGCCGCAAACTGACATTAGCAGTGCACTTTTCTCCTGTAAATGTTTGTTTGGTCGCTCGTTCAGCAAGCTAAGGTGTAGGACAAGACATGTTCATGTTTGTAAGAAGGATAAGGAGGAGACTTTAACATGAAATCTTATGTTGGTTGTTGTTGTTCTGAGTCTGTGGCTTTTTGTGTTGTGTAGTTAATGCAAATGCAATTTAAAATGAAGCACTTTGATTGGCCATATGGGAACAGGGTCTCCATCTACAGAGACAAATTAATGCAAAGAATGCGCTATCATGAAACGAAGGAAATATTCTCCCTTTGAGTTTATAATTTTTTCTCAAACAGGACAAGAGATTTACAGAGCAGATATATTTGCTATTAGGGCTGCAACTAATGATTATCTTTATTAACAATCAATCAATAATAGATTTATTTTTGATCTATGGATTAGTTGACAAATCGTTGCAGGTGTTGCATGCAATTTAACTTCAGTCTTTGTAGATGGCCAATCCAGTAGTGTAAAAATATATATTTTATTTTAACTGTCAGCCAACCAAGATGTGCTGTCCACTAATTTGAGATTCAGCATATTACTCAGTGGGACTGAATGATAATATTAGAATTAAACTGATGGTTTCGGTCCCAGTTGTTTATGAGGTACAAATACATTTATATTGCTTTGAGATGGAACAATAATTGCAGAAGTCATGGCACATTTTTTAATAATAAAACTGTTCATGTCTAAAACAGAGAGAATCTTTGTTGCCTTTGAACATTAAAGGGGCCATTTATGATAAGTGATTGTGTGAATGAGACAGAAAAAGACTGTACGCCCTGATGTATCTAAAAAGTGGATCTGTAGACAATCTTCTGTCATTGGGTTGGGCTGGCTGAGTAGACTGAGCAGTGTTGTTGTTGTACAGAGGATCACTTTATTTCTCTTTCTCCAGGCTGCATTTCTTTGTTTTCTCCTCTGCTGGCTGACTCGCACTGGATGCTGCTGCTTTTGTGTCTGCAAAAAAATATAGACAGAGACATAAAAGACTGACTGACGATGGGGATTTTAATGGACTCTTGCAGCTAAACAATAAATACATACAGTATTAAGTAACATTTTTATTAATCGAACGTAGGGATGGTTGTTTTCTGTTGCTTTGAGTTCAGCTAAATAGAAACGAAGGTCATTTCTGTACATTATTGCGTTTGGCTTTGCAGTGTTAGTGGTGGAGAGGTAGACAGGTAGAAGTTCTGTAGTTCAGTCACTAAAACTTTTTCTTTTTGTATTTCTTGATATCATACTTGATATCATATGAGACACAGGGATAGAAGTAACATTTTAATGGCTTTTTGTGCTGCCAACCAGAAGCTGGACACAAAGGAGATGCTTCTGTCTGGGCCTTAGGCTCTGAATCAGAATCAGAGTAGCTTTTATTGCCAAGTAGTTTTTACACGAATCAGGAATTTGTTTTGGAGATAAGGTGCTACATGTAGACAAACAAAGAAAAACATACAGTTGACATAAATAAATGTAGAAATATATAAATATGGGAGAGATTGACAAAATATAAAATATAGAAGAACGATAAACACTTAACAAACAACAAATAGTATGTGCAGTATACCGGGTATGTACAATGATGTGAAATTAAATAATATTTACATGTGCAAAGATATACAGTATTTGAGAGGGAAGGGGGGGAGTGTCAGTGAGGGACTTGTTAATTAGGCTAGCTGCAGAAGGGTAGAAGCTGTTTTTGTGGTGAGAGTTTTTGGTCCTGATTGACCGCAGCCTCCTGCCAGAGGTTACAGTCTGAAACCGTTTGTGTCCAGGGTGGGAAGGATCAGCTGCAATCTTTCCTGCATGCGTCATGAGTCCTGGAGGTGTACAGGTCCTGAAGAGATGGAAGATTGCAGCCAATCACCTTCCCTGCAGAGTGAGTGATACGCTGCAGCCGGCCCTTGTACTTGGCGGTGGCAGCAGCGTACCAGATGGTGATGGAAGTGAGGATGGACTCAATGATGGCGGTGTAGAAGTGCACCATCATTGACTTTGGCAGGCTGAACTTCTTCAACTAGTAGGAAGTACATCCTCTCAGTATGTCACAGTACATGTTGGCATTCATGGTTCCCTCAGTGAACAGTTGCTCCCCAGTGGCGGTAGCACTCATGCAGCCCCAGATCATGATACTCCCACCTCCATGCTTGACTGATGATAGCCATTTCACAGATGTTTGTTGACAAGCTGTGATTACATGACACCAAACCAAGACTACTGAACTGTTAACGTATATAAATAAACCCTGTTTAGTGAATGGATGATGAAGAGTCCCCTGAGGGGAAAGGACACCCATCATGAGAGCTACCGTGGCTCTTTTGACTTTTGATGTACCTGCTTGTGCGTTGTTTTGTTGTGATGAGGGATCTGATACACTGGCAATGCTGGAACAATCCTCTTTCTCCTTGGAGATGGGGCACTCGAGTCCACCTCCAGCTTCTAACAGACTCTCCCTGGAGAACTCTGCAGGGGGCAGAGACACAAATGGAGGACAAGATGAGGGTGACGAAAAGTGAGGTATAATTAACCAGACAGAGAATAAACAAATGCCTTTTCCATAAAACAGCAGTGTGGATAAAATGATCTGGTCCTATATTGTATTTAAATTATGTCTCATTTCAACTCATTTCATCAATCAATGCACCCTGACATTTACAGCTGCATGTTATTTAGTCATGCTGAGTGAATTAAAAAGGCTGATCTTTAAATGAAGCCATGCTCGAATGGACTGGTGTTAATAGTCATTGATTTGTTTCCCCCAGCTTCCTCTTTGCTCCTTTCATCTGGAGTGAGAACTTAATTTGCAGCTCCTCCATAACACATAAACAATCCATAAAAAACATGGTAAGGTTATTACACTGGTATGTTTTTTTTTAGCTTTTACACAACAAAAAGCATGCGTGTCCCGATGCATAAAAATGAAAAAAGATGACAACATTTACAAAAGACATTATTTTGGCACTTCAGAAAAGCAGCCCTGTCCACTCATCACACAGTAAAGCTGGACAATTATTGAATGTGTGTGCAGTATGCGCTATACGTAATGCTATAAATATTTGGCACAACAAGGAGAGTTTTTGCCAAGGTGGCACTGAAAACATTTTCATTAAAGGAAAATGTCAATTTATTCACTTTCTTCGCACTATCCACAACTTGAAGGAGTAACCAGTATAAGTTATAAGTGTATTAGTAAATATTGTATTCTAACATTATATAGTAAATAATATATTTACAGGTTACACTTAATTTGGATAGTCTGCCTACAGATAGAGTATTTGTAACATTTAAAGAGCTTCAGGTTTGATTAGGGCTAATGTTCATGTGTATTCTGTGCTTTCATTATAATTTCAGATAATAGTACACTAGGTTACTATAGAGCTTACCACTAGAAGGCTAGAATATTAATTCAAGTTGGATGAAACAGCCGTTTCATTTTTGTGTGTTGTTTTCATTCGTTAAATTATTGCGCAAGAAAAGATTTCTACATGGTGGTTAGTCTCTGATTTGTTAATGCTACATACTATCTTGTCAATATTCATAACCATTTATGCAGAACAGCAAGTTCAACGATTCAAAAGTTTCTGAATTCTGTCAACAAGGTCGTCACGTTGTGTAGAACATACATAAGGGCTCAGATTAGGGCTGTGACAATACACTTGGGTCACAAGAACAAGACGAGAAGATATATTAACACTGTTTTGAAGAAATTTTTGATGGTGAAATATACAAGTGGGGGTCTGGTGGTCCTCCCCCAAAGGATTTTGAGCATTAAACTCTTAAATGACTGCATTCTGGAGACATTTTCTACAGCAGTTTATGGTGGAAATGTCTTTATTTACATGAAGGGAAACACAAAATGGCAGATGATACAAAATATAAAAATACTTTTTTTGGACAATGCACATTTGTTTCTTCTATATTTAAATTGCAGTGCAAGTATATTTGCATATTTGTTATTTAACTTTTGTCATTGCAAGCAATTTTTCAAAAAAGTATTAACAAATGCTTTCAAAAACTGGCATGAATTTTGTGTTTCTCTTTATATAAAAAAAAGACATTTCCACCATAAATTGATGCAGAAAAGGCAGAAGAAGTGCATAAGTTTTCACCGGAATACAGGAAATGAAGTGTTTAATGCTAAAAATGTTGCCAATATAATATCTTGCCTAGGGCTCCAACACAGTCAGGGCCAGCCCTGGGCTCAGCCCATTCACAGTATTTAGCGTACAGACCTGTATACAGTCCACAGACATGAGAGTAGTATCAGTCTTCATCTTGAAGAAAGCGAATAAGCGTATTTCCCAAAATGTCCAGTATTCCTTGAAGTATTCTTTTCCATTTCCCTTTTCCCAATCCCTTTGTTTTGCTTCTTTTAATTCCAGTTTCATAACCGTATAATGCCTTTATATAAATGCCTTACAGCCATTTTCATGCTTCCCACCACATTTCCTCATGTTAATAAGCTGTAACTGGCTTCATCCCTCCCTTAACATCTGCTCTCTTCTCGTGGTACTGCACCATCCATTTATCAGTGCAGCGGTGACCTCCTTATCTGTCAGATATCTTTCCTTTACTCCACCATCCTTTCATTATTTTTTGACACTTTTTCTTGCCCTACACATGTTTTGACACGCTCCCTTGTGGCCCCCTTCAGAGACTCGTTCATGTTGTTTATTTCTATTACCAGCTCTATTACAGACTCCTAGTAGGTTGAGAAGCCCTGGACTAAACTACTCAACTGTAAGTAAAGTAGTTACAACTAGTTCCACCTCATGAGTGCTTTTTACTTTTTATATTTTTTGTAATCATTTTCTGATGCTTTTATATAATATAGGATTTTGAATGCATGAAATGTAATTTAACAAGTCCAAATAGAAAAAGACTCACTCTACCTCGTACTTATGATCTGTTTAGACTGTCTAGAGGAAAAACACAAGAATATAAACATGGAAACTTCTTACAACTCCATACAAATGGTGTCTCATTTTACACATGTTTCCAAGTATTAATGTTTGTGCCCAAGTCCAAAGTAGGTTTTAGTGAGGTTTGTGTTGCTGAATAGGCAGCTGCAATGCTGCAAGCATGCAAATAAAATTATTCTCTAAACAGTTTCCAAACATACCCTCCATTTGGCAGCGTAATTTCTCAAACGCCTCTGCAGTGGCCTCATCGTCGTGTGGGAGCTCCTCCCCAGTGGGAACAGAGTCGGGGCTGGGACGGTCCGACAGGCAGCTCTCTGAGGAGCACTCATCCCCAGCTCCCTGCTGCTGCCTGTACAGGTGATGATCTACCAGGAACTGCAGCTCTGCGAGGAGGGAGGCGGAGAGGTGCAGAGGTGAAAGAGAAGCAGACATGTGAAGATGAAAAGGAAGGAAAGAGACAAGTTGGATGAGAAGAAATAGTTAACAGGGAAAGGAGAGGGGAAATGAGAGAGGAAAGGAGTGGATTGGATTGGAAGAAACAGTGGAAAGTAAAAAGCACAAAATCATCAGGGAAATGTAGGGAGAAGGAGGACAAGCACAAAAAGAAAGTGGTGTGAGATGAAGGGAACCAGTGGGAGAAGAGACAGGGTTTGAACAGTACACAGGAAAGACAGATGGGGGGAAGGAGAGTCAGTGAAGGTGGATATTCAAAAAGAAACCCAAGACTTCAAAAGAATATTGTTAAGCAAGCTTTAATTAACACCCAGCAGCATTTGGAGTGAGGGGGCAGGTAAAGATGCATCAGAGTTGGGAGATGATTACTTTTATCGCCTTCTTCAACCTCCTCCATCCATGGTTTTATTACTCCTAATCTCCTTGTAGTAAGAAAGTAAAACACACTGATTATCGCCTTGGTTTCCTCAAAGAAGTGACTGTTTAGCTGTTTAGTTGTGAAACTAATTGAAGAATAAACATCCCAGAGCACCACACTTCATTTATCTTCTCATTGTTGTTCCCTTGCTTCAGTTTCTTTATTGAAATGATGCTCTGTTTTCTCTACATAAAACCATTGTGTGTTTGTATTTAATTGGAAATTGACACTTAAATAAGACTTGTATTACATTGCAGTGACAAAACAGCCTACAGATATACAAGGTGTTGAGAAATATTGTGAACCACGTTCAGGTGTGAAGAAGTTTTGGAGACTTAACATAGCATTGTTTATTGAGCCCGGCTGAGGAGATACAGTGCCAGCATACAACATGTAAACACGTCAAATGCCAATACCAAATCTGAAGAATAACATCTTGTGGTCCCTTTTATGTTTCTGTCTTCCCCCTAGTGTCTGTAGGTTTCTCTATTAGGTCACCTTTCACCTAGAACAACTATCTATCTGATGTTTAGACTCAAATGCTTCGTCATATTGGAATCTCTCACTATCCATAAGTTGTACTCCAATCTGTGGAGCCAGTGAGTTCTTGTAAACATTCTTGTAGGACTCAACCTTGATAGATTCCCAGAGAACACTGATATCTGCTAGCCTGACGCCTGAGCTGTCTCTTAACTAATCAGTCTATTGTTGTCTTCCTGACAAGGACAAGTACATGTGACAAATACCTAAAGCTATTATGGGATCAGCTAAATTACTCTAAGCTAGACCTGTCATACCTTTCCCTGTTACATCAATTAAGAGACCTAAGGAAGAACTTCTCTGACTGTGTGTGTGTGTTTGTGTGTGTGTTTAATATTTGTTGGTCAGGCTTTCCTCAGGTGGAGCATGACACCAAGTGTCCTAATCTCAAATAGACCCACTTTTTAGCCAAAAAAAATGGAAATTGGGAGAAGCTCTGGTCAGAAAATATGGGACAATGAGTCCGTGCTGCGACAAGTGCAGCACTGATTGGCTCCGAGGTTGAAATAGGACACTCAAGACAGAAAAAACTTCTATCATTAGTGTAGCTACTTCACCAAGTAAGTTCAAGTTACCTGACATCTGACATCCTGGACTTTATTGGTCATAGTTATAGCTTTGTACCCGGATTGGCTGACATTTTATAAAGTTTGTCTTAAAACAATAAATGCGCATATGCCCATTAAAACAGGGTTTGGTTTCTGTAATAATTTCTCTTGTGCATACTGGCAGTGAAAAGATTCCTTTCTAACACGACTGAAAAATAAAAGCAAGAACTCGGAGCAAATTGCATCATAATTTTTCAGCAGTCTGAGTTAGCCAATCAAGTGAGTATTTTTCAAAATTACAATCTTTTGAGTATGGAATTCCCTCTTTGTGCTTCCTTGCTGAGCTCTGATGGAGGGGTAGTATCAAAACTGTAAAAAGACTGATGACAATGATCAAAAACTGTTTCAATGCAGATACATGCACTCAAGTGCCCTGCCCTTTGAACTTTATTACATTCATTTAGGTACATATATTATTGGACTTTTGATAATGTCATTGTTGTGGATAATTACTGCAATTTTTGGTTTCTTCCTTTTGTATGCGTCTTTTCCTATCCACTGCACTTCTCTTTTTGCACAGCTAGCATTTACAGCAAGCTTCCTTGGGCTTTTCCTTGTGCCGGCCTGTTGCCGTAGGCTTATACACCCTATGTGACATGACCTGCGTAGCCACATGCTACCCAGACAGGCTAGAATATTAGTTTAGTTTGAACAACTCACAAATTGTTGTTCGAACAGCTGTGAACATCTGTGCCCTAATATGACAGGCCTGAAGTACAGCTTCCTACAACATCGCCACTTTTTATTCAACTTTTCATCTACTAATGTAAGTGTATGTTTATTTCAATTAACCTGATAATCAGACTGAATTGACATTTCATTTTGTTTCATTAAGTAGCTGAACAAATCAGAGATGGGTTGATTCAGAAGTCTGGAACCAGGCAACATTTCAGTAATATACTTGAAAAGAACTGCTTGCATTTTTGTGAAACCATGACCACATACAAGCACAAAATGTTACAGTATAGAAATCAGACAAACTTGCAAAAAATTATGCATACATCACACACTGGTCGATGACAAGATTGACAATTCACTCTACCTTTCATTGTAGGTGTTCCCTTTTGCCCTTTTCGCCGTTGTCGAGGGGAATTCAACAATGCCGCCTGCAAAACATCAACATCACATGTCAGCTGGGCAGAGAGCACTAAGATGGAAGAGATTGTTTTAATAGAGTTAATTAAAAAAAAAATCAAATACAGAATTCACATAATTCTATTTCTGTAATCTTATTTCAGTAAAATAGAAAATGAATTTGATTACCTTGTACAACTGGTTTGGGAGACGATCTTCATCTATTTCTGCGAGACAACAAATAATCAGTTACTTTACAAAATAAAACAATGAAAATAAGGGATTTAAAGCAAATACGGAAGGAACAGGCATACTAAACTAACTTCATTTGACCAACATATTGTGCAGTCTTTGATGCTGTTCATAATCACAGTTGATCTGTTCAGTATGTCAGTGTTCTGTAGCTGGAGTGCCGCTGTGACTCCATACAGTTCAGAGCAGAGTGGATATAAGGTGACCTCCAGCCAGATGGTTATCTGACTCACTACAAGCCAGTGCAGTAAGTGTTTGCTCAGTTTTAGTGTTTGATTAGAATTATTTTATTTTTTATTCTCCACTCTCAGCTTCAAATCAAAGCAGACTCTCTGGATGTTTTTTTGCTAACAAAGGGGATTGGTGCAACACCTCGGGAGTTTAAGTCTTTCACTGAAGACGCTCCTCTTCTCAGCCAGCATGTTGGAGTGGGTGGGAGATGTAGTTTGGGATGCTAACCAAGTTAGACAGCAGCCTCTTCTTTGTTACTGCCTCCAGAGAGTCCAGCTCAACTCTTACTCCAATAAGTATGTTGCCTACTAAAGTGTAGTCTGGAGCTGAGTTGATATACACTTAAGCACACCAAGCTAATAATAATGCAGTCTACAATCTAATACAGCAGTCTTGCAATAAATTCCACCTTCATGTAGATTAATATGTTGCTTTTTTGTTTCATACAGTTTTAGAGTGGTGCTGATTTAACTGTAAGGTAGGATTTATTGCTGTATTAGACTGCATTAGTTTTAGTTAGGGGCACCCAATAAAATGTCAACTGGGTGTATATTACTACAGTGAAAGCATCTACAATGTGTGCATGCATAGGAGGACAAGGAAACTCCAACATAATACTACACTCAAGTGAATCTCAAGCGACTCCCACTGGGTAAAGAAAAGCTTTATCATCCCTTGTCAATATGTGAAACATGACTCTGTGGTCACAATATGAATGGACTGAAATAGAAAAAAATCAGATGACTGGAGTACTGGAGTATCAATAGTGTGTTGAACCCACATCCAACTCTGCATTTCCAGCTATGGAACTTTTTTCTAGGACACCACCTTGTTGCTTAGCAACCTATGCATCCCTAGGCACTAGACTGCGTGTGTGTGTGTGTGTGTGCCAGTGAGCATGTGCATATATTATTCCCACTTAAAAGTATGCGCTAGGCTGTTAAAAATGCCAGTGATGTGCTTGTTTCTTTATTCATCATTCTCTCTCTTTCTCTCTGCACCAAACACATACTCAGTGATGTATGAAAATCTAACCACCAAAACATTACATTTAATTTCATGATGGATTCATCTTTATGGTCTGCATGTTTAAAGTGATGCTTGAAACTAAATCTTATTTTTAGCATCTCAGAGGAGTTTGAGAAGGTTCAGACTGCACTATGGGTTTTGTTTCAAATCAATCCCAGGAAATGGGCCAGTCTTGGACTGTCCTTTAAGTTACTTTAGATTCTGTTTAAGATTAAAATGAGGTCTAAAGGTCTAACATGAGAGTTTTACCACCATCGCAAAATCTAATGTGTAATGTGAGACATTTTGTGTACCAATAGAAAAGTTGTCAATATGTTTGTAAAAAGAGACAGCAAATATCTTAACGGAATATGTATGTTTAAAATGTTTAGGGTGAGGACAAATATAAATACATGTAAATAAAAGGGTGAAAGGTAAAAGGAACAAAATTGTGCAGTAGATATTCAAAAGATTGTTTAAAAGGACGGTAATAAACAAACAAGACAATAATTTCATATCCTGTTTTACTCTGTTTACATGACAGATTACTTCTTCCACTTGTGTGTATGTGCGTGTGAATGCACATGTGTATTCATACTTTACAATCGCAAGAAAATGTGAACCCTTTGCAATTAATTCAATTTCTGCATAAATTGGTCATACAATGAGATCTGATCTTCATCTAAGTCACAATTGATAAACACAGTCTAACACACAAACAATTATATGTTTTCATGTTTTTATTGAACACAACGTGTAAACATTCACAGTGCAGGGTGGAAAAAGTATGTGAACCCTTTATTATTTACTGGTTGACCCTCCTTTGGCAGCAATTACCTTAACCAGAGTTGAACTGTCAACGGTTTTAGTTCAGCAATATTCTTGGGATGTCTGGTTTGAATCGCTGTCTTGAGGTCATGCAATAGCATCTCAATGGGGTTGAGGTCAGGACTCTGACTGGGTCACTCCAGAAGGCATATTGTATTCAGCTGAAGCCATTCTGCTGTTGATTTACTTCTGTGCTTTGGGTCGTTATCCTGTTGCATCATGCCTCTTGCGTCAATTGGCAGATGGCCTTACATCCTCCTGCAAAAATTCTTGATAAACTTTGGAATAAATTTTTCCGTTGATGATAGCAACCATTCCAGGCCCTTTGGCAGCAAAGCAGCCCCAAACCATCATTTCCCCTCCAACATACTTCACAGTTGGGATGAGGTTTTGATTTTGATGTGCTGTGCCTTCTTTCCTCCACACATAGGTTTGTGTATTCTTTCCAAAAAATCAACTTTGGTTTCATCTATCCACAAAATATATTGCCAGTAGAGCTGTGGAACATCCAGGTGCACTTTTGCAAACTTCAGACGTGCAGCAATATTTTTTTGGGCGGGGGCAGCAGTGGCTTCCTCCATGGTGTCCTCTCATGAACTACGTCATTGTTTAGTGTTTTACATGTCATAGAGTCGTCAACAGAGAAGTTAGCATGGACTACATATTTCTGTAAGTCTTCAGCTGACACTCTAGGATCCAACTAAACCTCATTAAGCATTCTGTGCCGTGCTCGTTCAGTCGTCTTTGCAGGAAGGCCACTCCTAGGGAGAACAGCAACAGTGCTGAACTTTCTTCATTTATAGACTATTTGTCTTACCATGGACTGATAACCATCGAGGCTTTTAGAGATACTTTTTCAACCCTTTCCAGCTTCATGCAAGTCAACAATTTTTTATCTTCTGAGAGCTCTTTTGTTCGAAGCATGGGTCACATCAATTTGTATGTGTTTTTATAGGGCAGGGCAGCTCTAACCATTGATTGGACTCCAGGTTGGCTGACTTCTGACTCCTCCTGTGATGGTGGACATTTTAACTGCAGACTTATTGCATCTAACAATTTGACACCTGCAGTGATGTCAGAGAGTAGATAATGTTATTAAAGGTGGAAGGTGCCTTGAGCCTGAAAAGATTAACTTAGAGTCGCTGTAAAGCCTTGCAATTTCAGAGATGATAATTAAAAATGTTTCTGTACAACAGATGGAATGAAATTTGAGATTCAGATTTGTCGAAGTATTCTCAGGTTTTAATTTTATGTTTAAAATTGGTGCATTGGATCAATGCACTGCAGATCTTAGAACAGTGATCAGCTGTGCTTAATTTTGAAAAAAATATGGTTATTGTTGTTAGTTCTTGTAGTAGTAGTAGTACATATGGCTAAAATATAATTTGGGTCAAGAAACATAAAATGTGCCTTTCACACAGCTGATTCAGTTTTCCCTGCGTATCGAGCCCATCTGTGCTTCAGAATGAGAGAAAAGGCCAATACAAAAGCCTTTCTGGCAGTGACGAGTCTATCACTGCTACTCCCAGCTGACTGGCTGTCTGACACAAAGCCAGACGAGAACAGAGACTAGTCTTCTGACTCCACTTTATTCTATATAACTATTTAAAGTTTCTGTACTGCAACTGATTACGAAAAATTAGCAAATAAAAAAATCCTCTTGCACTGTGTGTTAAAAGAAATATAAGTCTACACAGTCTGTTCTGCATTTAAAAGTGTTGTTTCATTTATGTTATTTTTGCAGTTGTTAACTGCTGCTATGCAAAGAGCAAAGAAAGTGAGGGAGGGAATAGGTCTCCCTTTTTGCACACTGGTTTGTTTATTTTAATTTCAAAGAAGACATTGTTCTTCCTCCTCACCTCTCACTAATTTGAGTTTAAACAAACCACTTTGTTGAAACACAGATAGATACAGACAGGAAAGAATTAAACATTCTGGCGTTGTTACTATCTGTTCCTGAAGAAAAATGCGTGTGACAGCTGCTGGGAAATTGCAGCTATTGCTTCAAGATCACATATTGACACTACAAAAGCTGTATACTGGCTAAAAAGCAGAGGTAATTTCTCAGCTTAATCTCAGATTAAGATTATAGCTCATGAACATGAGATAATTATAATGCTCAATCAGCAAGGTGCACACTGTGAAGAAGTATACTGTAATAAGTAGACTATGTTTAAATTTGATTAATTTTGTCAGTCAGAATGCAGGAAGATACATTCAAGAACACTATTGTACGTTTTGTAAGGTTTGTCAACTGATGGTTTCTTGCAGTAGGGATTGCATTTAGAGCCTTCTGGTTGTAAGACAGCAGTGCTAAGCACAGGACAGCTTTATCAAGATCAGATTTTCATGTGGATAGTTTAATAGCACAAAAACTAAGGGAGAGTTTTAAAGAGTTTTATATTGTTAAATGTAAAAATGTTCTTGGCATGATGACATATAGAAAATATACACAGTGTTTAAATGTCAGTTTAAGAAAGGGGGAGACAAAGAAGGAGTCTGCCTGCAGCTTGTACAATGAATGCTTAGACAGTTTTGATGTTAAATAAGGTTATCAAAAACTCTTGAGGGAGTTTTATCCAATCAACCAACTTCAATTATCAGAGCAGCATTGTGAGGAGTATCTTCACAGGGATCAAATGCCAATTAGAAAAACTGTGTCTAGCCATTGATCCAACAGGTATGCCAGATAAACACAGTTTGCATTTTCTTGATAAATTTTCTCACAAAAAAACTAAAGCTTGTAGCTCACAGATTTTTAAAGGACATAAATTAAGGTAGAGTCTGTGAGTAGAATAAAGGGAAAGGTAAAGGATTAGGCCAGTTTCCAAAAATTAAATGACACCTTAACCTGTCTTATTTATAATAGGATTGCATTATTACTACAAATATTACTATAATTACTACT